AGCCTTCAGTGACTGCAACAGCGACCGATCCGGCAAGTTCTCAACGGCGTCGTCTCAGAGCCGGCGACTCCGTTCTGCTCATCCTTTCGCTGCCACTTTTCTTGTTCGGCGTTTGACAATTCTTCATTTGCTGCACACGCCCTCCACATTTTTTAGATGGGCTCGTCGATCTCCGCCGACAACCCATCGATTTTTCGTTGTACCCATTTGGATTGACGAGCAATTCCTTCAAATACAACCAATAAAAAAATTTGGCTTCTGCATTTTAGGAGAGTGATAAGGAAAACGGGTTTTACCTATTACTTATATTTTTATTGTTTTTATTTTTGACACTTGTCAGCAAGGGAGAAGGCCACGTCCATCCTCCCCCGCAGGATGCAAGCATTACTCTATATGATATAATCTTTTCGTTTTTTGTGTTCAAATTAATTTGCTTTGTTTAATTATAAAACCCCACTGATCTGAGAGCAAATTACTTGATCAGATACCTAAATTAGGTAGATTTGATAGGATTAAAATTTGAATCCTATTACAGCTATTTTGTAAATATTGTTATATGTCCAGTTTATAATATTCTTATGGAATGATGTAAAAAGTTATACTATATAATATTCTTATAGAATGATTCATCATCTAATTTTATACTGTATTAAATTAGTTAGGTTCTAAATTCAGTTTGCGTTTGAATATTATCGAATTCCCTATAAGAAGAATTTAAATTTATGTGAATCTCTTTAGTCTCCCAAGTGAGAAAAAATAAAATGTGCATACCATAGTAGGAGGTAGTACCAATTAATTTGCTTTGTTTAATTTTTTTGTTTTCGTTTTTTTTTTCTTAACAGGTTCTGAATAGGTTAGTTGCACAGGAAATGCTTATTGTATATAATATATATAATCTTCTTGTTTCCTGTGTTAATTTTCAATTGTTAATTTATTTGCTTCGTTTAATTTTTTTTTTTCTTAACTAGAAATGAATAGGCTAGTTGCATTGGAAGTGCTTGTTGTATAAAATATATATAATCTTCTTGTTTCCTGTGTTCTTTTCAATTGTTAAATAATTTGCTTTATTTAATTTTTTTTTTCCTTAACAAATAATGGAATATGTTAGTTGAATGGAAGTGCTTGCTGTATATTATATATAATGTTCTTATTTATTTTCAATTGTTAATTAATTTGCTTTGTTTATTAATTTTTTTTTTTTTTCTTAACAGATTATGAATAGATCTAGAAGTACGCCATGGAGGATTTTTTCCAAAGCACTCCACTTAAGATTTATACAGATGACACATAATGAGCTGTTTGGGGTCACTGTTGGAATAAAAAAAAACACTTTTATCAATAGAGCAGTCAAAAAATTTCGGTTAGTGCAAAATATATTAGGTGTTTGATGACATATTATAATATAAGTACTTTTCACATTTAAATTATTTTTTAATTTATTTGGTAACAATATTTTTTTAAACATTTCTGTTGTTAATTTTACAATAATATGTTTTGATATGATGTTATCATATTTGATAATAATAATTTTATAAAGAAATGGGTGTAATTGTCGTTATAAAATAAAATGTACGAAAAAGAGTTACCAAAAATTTCAACCTCTACTGGAACACAAACACAATTTTATAAGGTCTAAATTCTAGCTTCATTCGAACGCTATAGTAAACTAAATTTGGTAATAATTTAAAGCACTTATAATAGTTATCAAGCATATCTAAACCAATTTTTCAAAATAAAAACGCTTTTAAGTAACGAAAATCAATTCCGAACGGACTCTAAATTTGATTGAGGAAAAAGTCATCAAGGTAAGTCACATTTGTTCAAAGAAAAGTTAGTGTTTAATTGATTTGAATGCCGTGTGAAATTACTGTTATTAAATTTCTTGGATGGCAGCCCACTACAATGGACTTTAGACCATGGTTTGCAATATTGGTCATGGTCACGGTCACAGTATTGATCGCGATACGAATCACGTATTGGATTATAAGGCGAACCATTCTCTAAATTTTAAACAACATTGGGATTACAGTATGCTACAGCTGGTGACAATTTTTTATGATAGAAACACCTTTGGTTTCTTTGGTGTTTTTTGGTATTAGATGACAGCCATACACCTTTTTTGGTGGTGTGGAATTTGGACATGTATATGAACATAGATATAGTTCAACAGCAACATATATGATCAATATTATTCAAGGAGCACTGCGATTTCACCACTCTAAAAAATCGATTCAATATTGAGTCTAACTTATTATACGAGTGTCATGTGATTAGTGAAGCCCAATTTAAAACGTACACACAATCTCTCTTCTTTGCCCCTTGCAAATCACACATCATCGCACTCTTCACTTTTTTTCCTTGGCTCTGGCCTAACGTCGTGATCGTTGGAGTCTTGGACACGAGAATCTGGCTGGAACGGCCAAGCTTCTCCAACGACGGCCTCTCTTCTGTTTCGTCTGATTGTAAAGGCACTTGCGAGAGAGCACACTGGATTTTTCTTCTGCGTGAAATTAGAAAATCATCTATGTGAGGCTACGCCCTCTTTAAGCTCTCTCTGTTTTCATCTTTTGCCCAAAGAGGTTGTGGAGACCCGGTTAACCCATGAACCCTAGGTTCTTCAAATCTCAATTGGAAAAAAAAAAAAAAAAAATTACAGTCTTTGTTAGATGATGAAAAAGAGAACTAAGGAAACGAAAAAGATTATGCAAACTCAGGCTAGAATGTTCTCTCTTCTGTGCTTTTTTTTTTATTTTTAGAGGTGAAAACCAATTGAAGATAACAGAGAGAGAGAGAGAGACAAAAATTTTATTTCTTTTTCACTTCCAAGTAACAAAGTCTTTTAAATGAAGAATGTATTTTGTAAAGTGAATGACTTTTAAAGAAAAAGATGTACATATAAGTAAATTGATGCACACAGAGAAAAGATACGTAAGGAGAGAAAATAGTAAAGGAAACAAAGAAGAAAATGTAATTTTGTCTAAAATATATATTGCATTTTAATATATCACATGAGACTTGTTATTTCGGTTAGCATATGTCAATTTTTTATTGGTACGAGAAAGTAGTTAAAATGTACATTTCCAATCAAACAAATGAAAAAGTAGGCAAAGGGGTATAACCGCCATATTGAAGGGCAATATTGGCATTATAAAAAAATATTAGCCGAAAAACTATGGGATGTCACATCAATGGTGTATTGCTAACTTTTGAAACTAATGGGACTGCTCACTTTTATGCTAAGGGGGTTTGCCACTTTGTGTAAATTTTTATCCCCAGTACAACTTATTCTTTCTTTTTCATTCAGCGAACAAAATAGGGGAAGAATATAATCTTTTGGACATATCTCATTCATCTTCTCTTCTCTTTTTTTTTCATTCTTTATGTTTCACAAATTTTCATCCCCCAAATACAACAAACTATCGGCTCATTCTCTTATCTCTCATCCAGCCAAACAAAATAAGGGAAGAATACAATATTTTCTCTGGGCATGTCTCATTCACCCTCTCCTCTTCTTTTCATCCAATATTTTTTCATTCCTACCTAACAAAGCATTGGTATATGACTCTGAGTCTTGCTACAGACCTGCATTTCCTAGTTCCTCCCCATTTGAAGAGGCCCAGTGAAACCTTTTTTGCCCACTTAATTGCAAATTTGCTATAAATTTACTTAGATTGGGTAAGTATCTGTGCCTGTAATGACCCTTAAATTGAATGATTCAACCACCTTTTTTTTCCTTCTTGAACTGATTCAACCTGCTGTGTTATTCCTTCCCAAAATCAGATCAATGTCAAGCTCCTAAAACGTAAACTACAGATTTTTTAACAGACACTGTACTCCCCTTAAATCCCGAAAACGATCTCAGTTGCAATCCATTGACATTTTTCATCAATTGACGTTTGATAATATGACCGGGCTTCTTTATCTTCCATCTCTACACCATAAGTATTAGAAAGAAATCTGATAGCATGGATTTTAGTTTTTGAATTGAAAAAAAAATTAAAAAAAAAAAAAAAAAAAAAAAAACCAAATTAGCATTTAACAACAACAATTTCAATTCGGATATTAGGAATTTAAGAATGCATAGGACAGACCCATCAATTTTGCTCCAGCTTTTTCGCTCTATGTATCTCTCTGGTCAGGTATCTGGAGCTTTTGGGAAGGCATTTTAGTTGCATAGGCAGAGAACTTTCCATCTCTTTCAGACATTGTCATTATTTTATAATTAGTTACAAATGCAGCTGATGAATATATGTTTCACAATTGTTCACCATACATAACACTAAAGCCTCCGGTTGGGTTGAGGGTTCAAGCCCCCACTAGGGCTCGTGTTTGAGTTATATATATACCTATCAAAAAAATAAAATAAAATGTTGTTCATCATATATAACAACAAATGAAATCTAACGTTCTTTTTTAAATGAAACAACAAAAAATACAAAATTGATGGAAAAAAATGCAGTTTACAAAGACAGAATAAAGAAGCATAATCCCCAAATGAAAGCAGAACCGAAGCCCCTGTAAGAAAATCTGAACTTCCATAACACTATTTTCTAAATATTATAAGGAGGTCACATAATAAGAGAACCTTTTAATGCCGTCAAAACATTAGACAAGAAGCATTCAAACCACGATCAGCAGTACAAAAAAGCTTTCCCCTCACTCCCTCGGAAACTTTACACCCTAGACAAAGCAACTGGAAAGCAGTCATCATGCCCAGGCGCTAAAGGAGATTCAAAAATGAAGATGAACATGAACAAAAGTTGGCCATAGAAGAACAGTATAATAAGAGAACCGAGGAAAGATAGAAGGATGGATGAAGGACCTGCTAAAATTTATCTGTGATTAACCTGCTCACAAGTTTTGGCAACTCTCGAGGACCAAAGGAACAATACTAAGGGTACATTTACAAATGGAAAATAAAATGGAACTTCCACGCAAGACTCAAATTAAGAATTTTTTTTTTTAATATGAAAAAGTACATGCATGCAAATTTCAGAACCTAAAATCATAATATAAAGCTTGATACAACTTTCAATTACTTGAAGCAAAGAATAACATGTATTATAACTCCAATCAAGAATGATTCAACAAATACATTTATGCAAATTCCAGTTACTCCAACCAAACTACGAACTTTAGTGTTATTACATGTGAATCTGTTATTATCTCATAAACTGGGTTTAAATATCACATCCTTCCATTTAAAAATTACACTATGTTAGCCCTACCACAACTCCTTCCCCACCTGCGTCTACGAGACCTTCTCTTCCTCCCAACCTTTTTTGCCTTAAACTTCTCTTTCAAGTCCCTCTCACCTCGCCTTTTATACATCTTAAAGGTTATTTGTCTGTCTGCAGCCATCTTCCTCACCTTCTCTGTGATCTCTGCTGCAAGCTGTCTGTTGAACAGTTTCCTTAGACCCCTCATGAGCTTAGCAAAAGTATCTGGCTGCGGCATCAGTCCAGCATCCATCATGTCCAAACAGTAAAAACAAGCCTCCTTCACATGCCCTTTTGAGAACAGTGCATGAATCCAGATTGTCCATGCACACACATTAAGCTCGCATCCGCTAGTCACCATGCAACTCCAAACATCTTTACTCCTTTCAAGTTTATCTGCTCTTAGTAAAGTATTCAATAGCTCCTTCAAGGTACCATAATGAGGAACAGAAAAAAGACCTCTTCCAACCATTTCTTTGAAATACTCACAAGCTTCAACCAGACACCCTTGCTCAAGAACTCCATTAATCATAATGACAAAGGTGTCAATCCCTGGACTAAGCCCAACCTGTTCCATCTTATTCCACTGTTGAACACCTTCTTTAACCTCTCCCAACTTGCACGTCAGTCGGATTACTGTATTGAAGATACTGAGATCAGGAACACAACCAATCTTCTGCATCTCATCCACAAGTTCTATACACTCCTCAAGTTCTTCCTTCTTCTCATGTGCCAGCATGATATGCAAATAGGTTGTCTGATTTGGAAAATGGCCCTGCTGTATCATACTATCCAAAAGCTCGTAAGCCTTATCAATTTTTCCCCATTTACAAAATCCGCTTATCAATGCAGTATAGGTCACCTGATCCGCCTTGCAACCACAATTATGCATCTCCACAAAAACCCGCATGGCCTCCTCCATTTTTTCATGAGAACAAAGGGCCTGAATCAAAATTGTGTATGTTGTGACATTTGGATCACAACCTTTCCTCCTCATCTCTTGCAAGAGATCAAAAGCATCTGCCATTTTCCCTGCCACCGCATACCCATTAAGTAAATTGTTATATACCACAATGTCTGGCTCAAATCCTGCTTCCCTCATCTGTACCAAAACAAATTTTGCCTCCATAAGCTTCCCTTCTCTACACCAACCATACAATAATGAAGTAAAATGCTTAATAGTTGGAGTAAACCGAACTCTCATATCCTCGAACAGTGAAGCAGCTTCTTTTACACTACCATTCTTGCACAACGCATCCAACAGACACCCAAACACATATTCATCTGGTTCGCAACCATATTTAGGCATCTCATCCAGTACTTCAATTGCCTTCTTAACCATTCTAGAGGATGCAAATCTTCTCATTAAAACAATAAATAAATCAGGTGAAATGAGCAGAGGATTCTCTTTCCTCATCTCCTCAATTAGGGCCCAAACAGTGCCAAATTGCCTCATCTTACCCAAAATCTTAATCATTGCCTTGTATACATCATAACTATGTCTATAACCCGGCTGCTTTGAAGTCCACACAAAGAATCTATACCCTAAGTTACCAGCATCGCCGCAACGATTCAAAACACGCTCGGCTAAACCAGATCGCACAACAATGCCGGATTCTTGCAAAGCAAGTTCAAGTTTTGGGACCCTAGAATGGAATTTCCTTAGAATTCTATAAACCTTTTCCACATCAGCTGCAAATTCATCATGAATTTGGTCACTGCTGCAGCCTTCTGAATTATTTCCAAGACGAACGAAGTCAGTCCCTCTTCTTCTTCTGTCACTTGACATGCTCCGAACTTCATTCCTGGTAGGGTTGGATTTTGAGGACTTTTGGGGTGAACCCATTAGAGAACGGATGGAAGATAAATGGGATTTGGGTGATTCTTGGGATAAGGGGGCAGAAGCATATGATTGTTGGAGGATAAAAGCAAAAGGGGTGCTTGGTTTTGCGCCAAGTAAGAAGTTACCGAGTGCCACCGACTTTGAAGAGCATCGCTGCATTTTCTTAGGGGGCTATGCGCTTAATGTCTGTAATATTCTTGCATTTTCATGCGTAAAAAAGTAGTTAACTGTTCAGCCTTCAATCTTAAAACCCTACAAAAGTCAATTCCAATACTGGAGTTGAACAGTGTATGAGGAAGAGGGAAGAAAAAGGGTATGAAAGACAAAATCTAAGGTTGAAGATTGAGGTGAGAACACTTCATAGTAATTACTGAGCACCCGAGCAATTATTGATTTGGGAATTGGGAGTTTGGAAAAAATCAAGATAGATTCTGAAGTGAAAAGTTTTTAAGTTGTAAAGACAAAAATAGGATTTTGAAAAAGCTTGAAATTGTTCATGAATCATAAAATCGATAGGTTTAAAATCATCAAGAACGTGTCTAAAACGAATATGGTTTAAATTCAGAATCCGTTATAGGTATATATCAACAAAAACTTGAAAATTTCCTGAAAATTGAAGGGTACTGCAAGTATGGAGTCCTATAGGCAAATCATACTGCATTAAATTGGGGAAAATGTAAAATACACTCACCGGATGAGACTCAAACCTTCTAACTAAGGTTGAACGATCGAGAACTAAGATTTATGGATTCACATTTCCGGAGAATAAGAATACAAAGAACCCCAACTTAGGATTGGTTGACGGCGACAACGGCAGTGGTCAAGGTGGTTGCGGTGGAAGCTGTGTTCCTCCTCTTCGTTGTCTCTTCTCTCTCCTCCTACCGAGTTGTTCCGGGTTCGGACCGGGTCAGATTCGTTAAGTTGATGAGATGTAGGTTTTAAGGGAAGGCCACACAGAAGACACACTCGTACAATTTGTTACTCCGTATTTTATCTCTTACTAGCAATTATTATTTTAAGGGCAAATTAAATTGACAAATTAACAATCAAATGACAAAAATAACCCAATATAATATTCAAACAAAATTTACATATCCAAATCACTCTCTCCTCTATTTACACAAATATATATTCTTTTTGTCTCCTAATAGTTGGTTGTTTTGAAAATTATAATATTATAATTCACAAACTCACAATTAAGCACACAATTATTATGAAACATAGGAAATATATATAGCATGTGATTGAGGTTGCGCCACTTCAAATCCATCCGAAGAAGACTTCGAAGGCAACGAGGAGGGTTCCACCTCATCCTCCAATATCGCACCCCTTCCACCGCCGGCCAAGTCACCGTGCCGGCGTGCCAACATCCATGAAGGTATGACATTTATATATTTTCTTTAATTGGATCTATTAATTTTGCCCAAAACGAATTATGAGTTGGCATCTGCGTTAACTCATAAGACATGGGTCTACCCTGATTCTCCGCAATCGACATTAAGCGCAATCGAACGTTGGTCGTCCAACTGAAGCCTTTATGGAGAGGTACTGAGGTAGAGCTTAGAAAGTAGCTCCAATGTAGTCCAATTACAGAGAGACACACATGGCTCAAACAAGGCAGGCAATAGTCTTATCATTAGAAGGGTGTTTAAATAAATTTATTTGAGTAAGTGAGGTCAAATATGTCTTCACAACAAATAGAAGGATACTTTAGAAACTTTAAAGAATAAAGGGTTAAGTGTTAAAAAAAAAAAAAAAACCTAAACTATTGCCCTTTTGCGAATAACCCTCTGAACTAAAAATCGTCTCGTAAACTATTAATTTGTTGCAGTTAAGAACAAATTCATTAAAAAAAACTATTTTATCCTTTCTCATTATAACTTTTATTTCTTATTAAATTATTTTTGTTATCTTTTCCTTTATGTAAATATTAATCATACTTTTTATCTTAATTTTATTTTTAGTATCAATTTATCATAAAAATGAAAAAAAAAAAAATTAGATAAATAGATTTGTAACTTCTATTTTCTAAATTGATTAACTTATTATTATAATTTTATTATTTATAATAAAATTATAATAAAACGTATTATAATCAATTTAAACATTTTTATCGTAAAAAAATATCGTCTTTTTCATACAATATATTGATGAAAATCAATAACATACTTTTGAAAAAAATACCTTCTTTTCATGTAATATATTCATTAAAAATTAAAAAAGTAATTAAATTTGAAAATAAAATTAATTATTATTTAAATAATTCATTAAAAAAAATTAAAGGTAAATTTATGCAAATTTAATGAAAAATATCTCATCAAATTAGTATGATTTTTTTCATAATTTATTTATATAAGAAAAATATATTAAGTGTAATTCAATAAGAAAGAATATTATGGTCATTTAATGAAATATAGTATATTCCTTAGGGTATGTTGTAACAAAATGAGATAGTTTAAGAGTTTTTATGCACAAAATATAATTCAAAGGAATTATTTACAAATCCAAACATAGTTCAAGGATGTTTTTTTTACACTTTACCTAAGAATAAATTCTGCTTACATCAGCAATGTCGTTGATTGGGGTGACTACTACGGGCGTAAAAGTACAACATTGTGAGGGAGTTAAGTGTAATTTTACAAACAATAGGGGAGTTTTGCGTATATTAATAAAATTTAGGGAAGGTTAGTATAATTTATCCTATAATTTTTGTAAAAAAATGAACCGAAGAAGACTAAACTCCAGAATACGTGCCTCGAGAGCCACTTCAGTACCCGCCTTGAACCTTTACTCCTATTAATTAAGGTTATTGTTTGTTATTTCCCTATTTCATTAGCATTATTATTACTTCACAAAGTGCTTTAAGCCTTCAACAAAAGGTAAGAGTTGTGTGAGAGATTGCTCAATTTAGGTGTAAATGCATGCATGCATTTCGAGTTCGCCACAAAGTGACTAACCGATGAGTTGATAAAAATAAAAATAAAAAAAGAAGGGAAAAAAAATTATAGTAAACGAACCCTTCTGTGATAGATTTCCATGAAGCTGTTGCAACCTTTCCCAAGCACCACCTATTAGAATAAGTAGCACTCAGTTGTCCAAGACCGTGATAATATAAACAATTTTCATTCAGGCATTGGTATGGACAAGAACTTCCATTTAAAGTATGTCGATTTTCAAACAAATATTTTTTACATTTCTAATTCTAAGAGTAGTAATTGATACATTTGATTTACAGTTTCTAGTGGTGACAAAGGCTACAAGTATAAGCCGACTTGATACTCCGTATTTGTTAGGCTGAATTTGATTGATATTTCATTTACCCGGAGGAGCTCTATGATATGCTGGAATGGTTGTAGGGAAGAACACTTGCGTAACTCCTTCAGCCTCTATGATGGGAAAAATGATACCTGATGCACCCTGAAAAACAAAGTTGCAGGACCACAACATATCACTTATCAATAGAGAAAATTTGGTACGGCTGATAAAAGCAGGAATTGTGGCGTTTAATATGCTTAGTGCACTAACTAGAAGGAAATCAATAACAGAAGCAAAAAGAAAAAGGATCAACAGGTTTGAAGCGGCTGGTATTGTTGAACAGGTTATAAAACTTGAAGTAATATATGATCTATGCTAGCTGGATCAAGAAAGAAACATGGATCTTTCAGTTAGCGCATCTTTGGTATTTATGCTAAAAAAATTAATGGTGATGCAGGCTATATGGATCATAGCAAACGTGACATAAAGGCATGGTAAGAGAAGGATCAGTGTGTGTTTTGTATTTTAGAAACCATAAGGACAGACACACAGCTACCTACCAAAATCAATCTTGCTCCAACATACAGGCGTTTAGGTGAAGGAAAAGGTAGCAACAGACGACCAACACCATATATAGCCACAGCAAAGAAATGGAGAACTAAGCTTAGTGGGCGAGGATTTAGACCAGAGAGTAGAGCCACAGGTCCTGTCGAACAAACACCTCCAAGGCTCAGATAGTCAAAACATGCTTGACGCATTTCCATGCTTGCTTGATCAGAAGATGCACAGAACACTTTGTATAGGGCTCCTGCCAGAGTATTTATTGTGGATGCCACTGGCTGCGAAAAAGCAAAACAAATCAGATACCGAGTTTATAAAGAGTGAAAAATAATACCTTTAATACACAGTGCTTTTTCCTTTCAATAATTTTTTTGGGCAGTTAAATACAAATGGAGACTCAAAACCAATTTAAAATTTGTGTATATGTGTGTGTGTGTGTGTGTGTGTGTGTGTGTGTGTATATATGGCTCCCTCTTTGTGCATGATTGAGGTAGGAGCAGGGGGGTGTTAGTTTACAAATTATCATTTATTGTTTCATATTTTGAATTAGAAATACAGTTGACACACAACTATAAAAAGCCAGAGTCACTCCAGTTCTTGATATATATGGGAACAAGAAGTGGAGGGCTTCAGAATCTACACACAAAAAAATCAAATTAAGAAGTTTTGTAATGCCTATTATGACTATTGTTTACTCCTTCACTTAATTAGTTTTTTTTTGTCAAAAACTGGAATCTTCTTCAGAATTAATCTGCATTTTGTGTCCTATATGAAGCAATTTGCTTTCGACTTTTCATCTTTTCATGTTAGAATAACACCACAAGAATATGAATTTAGCTTACCTTGCGCAAGGTGTAAAAAGATTCAAGATATCTGCACAGTGAATCTGCATCATTCAGGTCATGCAGCGGCTTAAGAAGATTCCGCAGTACAACAATATCAGAAAGTGCCACAGTCATTCCTCCACCGGTCAAAGGATGACGCATGTTGAAAGCATCACCCATTAAAAGGGCTCCAGGAGTAGGATGGGGAGCAGCCGGCATACTTCTATTCGGCATTGTTCTTATATTTCCTTTACCAATTGCAGCTATAAATGCATCATGCAGCTCAGGTGGTATCTGATACAAGCACCATATTCGATTAATCCAAGGCAATAGACAGAAATACACAAAAATGAGATGGGGAAACGAAATTTTAAGTAAATAATAACCACAATAAAGGGGCATATATGATATTTCAGAAACCTAAATTGTGTATAAGAAACTATAGATACCTGGGGAGCCACAGTGGTTTTCAAATAGGAGGCCATTTCACCATTAGCAATAGAAGGTAGCTTCTGACCAGGCACATCAACCAAACAGCGAACCTCAGTACTACTGATTTGATAAAATAAGATGGGTGATGGATCTGCTAAAATAACATGACCATGATTTGGAAATGGAAGTTGACAGTTCTCCAAGACCAAACCAACAAAGCAGGATGGCACCTCCACCTGTTGAACTCAAAAATAGGGAAGTTTATCTTATGGATGTGGAGCAAAAAATGTGAATAAAATTGAGAGAATACAAAAATAGACAGACAGATTATGTCGCTCATCAAGTCGCTGAAAATAATGAAGGGGTCAACTTTATTGCTTGACTATAAATGTTTACTATATTAATCAAAGAGGAAGAAAATTTGAACAGGAAAAGAGTTGAGAGTGCTACCTTAGGATTGCAAAGAGAGCGGCGCAAATTTGAAAAGCAGCCATCACAAACGATCGTAAGAGGAGCATATGCTCTAAGCTCCTGACCAGTTTTAGTTTTGTACAGTACTCCCCTAATAGCTCCATTTTCTTCAACCAGAGATGTCACTGTTCCTTGCTCAAGCCGTACACTAATGGAAAGTTGCATGTCAAAAAGGGACAATTGAACCAAAACAAGTAATATTACAAAAGTATAAGAGTTAATTACAACGACACTCCCTGAGATTTGGCATATTGACAGTCATATACAACTTAACTGTTTTCTGAACAAAGACACCCCCTTAGGTTTGATAGAGTTAACAAAGACACCCCAATTGTCATGAATTGACATTATTGTCTTTTGACACATTTAATTACCAATTTATCCAATATAATTTGAGGACACCAAAATGACCCGGGCTTGATATGATCCGTATTGTAAGGACGGGTCGGGTATGGATAGCCAGGATGGAGCAAGTTCACGCTGGATGGGCCCAGATCCATGAAGTCATTGCAGAAGCCCATATTAAAATGAGAGAAGTTGAGTCCAGGCAAAAGAGAACAAATAAGGCCCAGGCCAGAGGAGGTTGTAACCGTCTATAAATAAGGGAAATTGAGAGGGACAAGTGGTTGGAAATCATTGGGAGTGTAAAATTTCTCTCTCTACAATTGGGGGAAATTCTTTGTACTTTCAATTGGCGCCGTCTGTGGGAAGAACAGGAAGGATTAATTGATGTTGTTCCAGATCGATTTGATTCAAAGCACTCTGCGAGGAAGACGGTTAATCTGCGAAAGCTGAATCAACATTGGCGATAATACGATTTGCCTCGATGAGTCCAGGCTCCGGTTGATTTCGAGAAGTTGGCGTCCGATCCACGCAGATCAGATCTGTGCTTGATCCGGCGAACTGCACAATTGCGATCTGTTGGGATCACTGAATCCGGCCAGTAGCGGATTGAATTCAACAAGTGTGAGTTCAGATCTGGTGTGTGCGTGTTAGCGGAACTCCGATCTGGTCAAGAAATCTGCAGTTGATGACTTTGCTCCGATCTGGAATGATGATCAGAGAGGCGAACTCAAATCCTTTGGAGAACGGCCAGTAGACGAAGCTCGATGAGCTAATGAACATGATCAACGCTTTGAGGAAAGAAAATGCAGAGCTACGAGCTGGAATGGAGCGTCGTGAGGCTCCTGCAATTCCGAGGCCACCTCCTGAAGGAGAGGGAGCCTTACTGTCCCAAGCTGATCGTCAAGGTGATCCAGAGGGTATCAATCACGTTGATCCACATCGTGATGAAGTTATAATCGGCGATCTGCCTCCGAATGTCCGTCAAGTAGAGGATCGAGAAGGATCTACTCGTCTAGAACCACATCGCGAACGGATCATGAGGGAGGAAGCACCGGCGTATGAACATAGGGGTGCGTCACCGTGGCGAAGTGAGTTTACGGAGGACAGGTCGTTCGATCCACCTTACCGACCTTCAATAGCAACATTTGATTACCACAGTTCAGAAAGGAGATCTGCCGATCGGGGGCTTCCGTCACGGTTTTCAAGGGAAAACGAAGCATTGCGCTCATCAGCAAGGACGGTTGCATCTCCGTTCACTAATGAAATTCTGAACGCGCCGAATCCGAAGAAGTTTTCCACGCCGGTTTTCATTCTGTTTGACAGAACAACCGATCCGGTTGATCACATCTACCACATTCAGTTGAAAATGGCTCTGAATACTAACAATGATCCTTTGATGTGCAAATGCTTCCCTACGAGCTTGGCTGGACCAGCTCTCAATTGGTTCAAGAATCTGGCTCAAGGCTCAATCGCTAGTTTCCAGGACTTATGCGATAAGTTCATAAGCCAGTACTACGGGAATAAACGTCCGGCTAAGGATGTATCAAGCCTTTTCATAATGAAGCAGTACGAGGATGAACGGCTCCAAACTTTTCTCACCCGGTTCAACCTTGTTAAAAGCATGGTAATAGAGTGTCATCCGTCCACAACGGTCCAAGCATTTAAACTCGCAATGAACCGGGGTACGCCGTTCCACACCAGCTTGGTGGTTAATACGCCGAAGACCATGGACGAGCTGAACGAGAGAGCTGATGGTTTTGTTCGTCTTGAGGAGGAAGAGGCAGCTAATTCAAGGAAGACGTCAATTATTTCGACGGAAGAGAAGTCCAAGGCCAAGATCCGGTAAAAACAAGCTCAGCCGCAACGTCATACCTCATGGAAGGCGGAGAAAAGGTCCAGGGAGGAGGAATCAGTAACTCCACTCAGAGTCACCTTAGTAAGGCTGTACCAAGAGAACAAAGATAAGTTTCGTCCTCCTTTACCAATCGGACAACCTCTTGAACAGAGGGATCAAACTAAACATTGTGCTTTCCACAGTGATTTTGGACAGCAGACTAACGAATGCAGGAACCTAAGGAGGCAGGTAGAGATGCTAATCGCCAAGGGGGAATTTGCAAGCTATGTTCAAGGTCCGGTGCAAGAGCAAAACCGCCCGGCTGAGCAGATCAAGCGGAACCAGAGGCCGAACCAACACAACTCTCAGCCTGTTCGGATTATAAATGCAATTCATGGCCGACAAGAACAAACGACGGAGTCAGAAGAGTTGCTCAGAACGCAGTTACACCAGGCCCAGTTGAAAAGAAGGATTGGCAGTGTGCATGCTTTGCACCAGCAGAACGCATTCACACCGATAAAGTTCGATAGAACAGACCTACTACGCGTTCAGATTCCTCATGAAGATCCATTAGTCGTCAGTCTGACGGTTGCAGAATGCCTGGTTCGAAGAGTTTTGATTGATCCAGGAAGTAGTGCGAATGTCATGCCTAGGGTGACGTTCGACCGACTCGAGATCGAACCCAAAAAACTCAAACCCATAGGAAATCCATTGCTCGGATTTGATGGGAAGCGAGTGGAACCCATTGGAATGGTGGAATTGACAGTACAAGCTGCTGAGCGAGTTTTGACTGTGAGTTTTGCGGTCGTGGAAATTTATCCATCATACAATCTCTTGATAAGCAGAGGGTGGATTTACAGAATTCAGGGCGTCCCATCAACCTTGCATCAAGTGATGCGATGCTTGGGTCCAGATGGGACCAAGGTGATTGACATACATAGGGACCAGGTTGCAGCTAAAGAATGTTATTCAGTGACTTTGAAATCTGCTGGAAAAGGGAAAAATCCCATCCGTTCTGCCAGTCCAAAATAACAATTATAGGAACCCCCTCCCAGCAGAGATGGGGAGGAGGAGCCACCAGTTCTGACCACAGAACCTCTTCATGAAGTGAGGATTGACCATAAGAAGCCGGACCGAACAACAAGGGTGGGATCCAGACTTACTGAAGAGGAAAAACTAGAGTTGACTGATTTCTTGACTCGGAATGCAAATGTATTCGCATGGAGCCATTCAGATATGCCAGGGATAAACCCTTCTGTATCCTGCCATTCCCTCAATGTAGACCCGAACGCAAAGCCAGTGAAGCAGAAGCAGAGAAGATTTGCTTCAGAACGAAATCAGATTATAGCTGAGGAGGTTGATCGGTTGCTTGAAGCAAGATTCATCAGAGAAGTTCAGTACCTAGCCTGGCTCTCCAATGTTGTTGTAGTGCAGAAAAAGAATGGGAAATGGAGAGTGTGTATTGACTTCACTAATTTGAACAAAGCTTGCCCAAAGGATAGTTTCCCATTGCCAAGGATTGATCAAATGGTAGATGCCACCACAGGACACGAGCGATTAACCTTCCTGGATGCTTATTCCGGTTATAATCAAATCCCCATGGATCCAGTTGACGAAAAGAAAACTTCTTTTGTTATTGCATGAGGGACTTATTGCTACAAAGTCATGCTGTTTGGATTAAAAAACGCTGGAGCTACTTATTAGAGGCTGATCAGCAAGATTTTTAAAGGCCAAATGGGAAGAACTGTTGAGGCTTATATTGATGATATGGTGGTCAAGAGTAAGAAGAAGAACGATCACTTAGCACACCTGCAGGATGTGTTCGATGTGTTGCGCCAATATGGGATGAAGCTTAATCCGGCCAAATGTTCATTCAGCGTAAGCTCCGGTCAATTTCTGGGACATATGGTCAATCATAGAGGAATTGAGGCCAGCCCAGCGCAAGCAGAAGCCTTGATCAGAAATGCAGAGCCAAAGACAATTAAGGAGGTGCAAGCACTCACAGGTCGAATAGCTGCGCTGAGCCGATTTATTTCCAAGCTTTTGGACCGCTGTAAACCTTTCTTTGATACAATTCGAGGGCACGGAAGGCAAACCTGGGGGGATGAACAACGACAGGCGCTAACCAACCTGAAAGAATACATGCGCAACCCTCCGGTTCTATCTGCTCTTGAGCCGAATGAGAAGCTCTTTATGTATCTTGGGGTATCCAGCATAGCGACTAGTGCCGTTCTGATCCGTTGCAAAGACGAAAAGCAATTCCCGGTGTTTTATGTTAGCAAAACAATGTCTGAGCCGAAAAGAAGGTACTCAAAGGCCGAACGGATGATCTTGTCGCTGGTCAATGCAAAAAGGAAGCTTAGACATTATTTCAAATCTCATCCGATCGTCGTCTTAACAACTTTCCCTTTAAGGATGATCTTGCACAAACCGGACCTATCGGGGAGAATGACCAAGTGGGCCATTGAATTGAGTTCATTTGATATTGCGTACACCAGGACAGCAATCAAAGGTCAAGCGGTGGCAGATTTCCTACTTGAATGTGATGTTGAAGATTTGGTGGAGGATTATAATTGTTCCTTGTGGAAGCTCTTTGTGGATGGCTCTTCGAATCAAATGGGGGCAGGGATTGGAATCCAATTGCGAACACCAGAAGGCACCACGCTGAGCCAAGCAATAAGACTTGAGTTCAACGCAACCAACAATGAGGCAGAATACGAGGCGTTGATAGCTGGGCTCTGTGTTACCTGGACTCGTCGTTTCCGGTGAGGGTGCAGTGTCGACACGACATGACACGGACACGGACTCGGGATATGCGTCTTACCTTGTACGGTCAAGATCGGACACGACCGTTGAAGAAAACCCTTGTTTCAGTGGTCGGAAATTTTTGGTTTCATCGCGTTTTCAGGAAGAGGTTTTGGAGAAGACGAGGGTTCTTCACGCGTTGGTTTTGCATAGAAACCTACCCT